GAACTGATTCTAACCTAGCTATGTCCCTCTTATAATGTGGAGCCGAGAATTGGACACAGTACTCCAGTTATGGGCATGTCAGTCTTATAGACTGGTAATACTCCATTCACTCTTGGATGAAACTGATTATCTGGACCCAATTCAGTCCGGCTTCAAACCCGGGTATGGTACTGAATCTGCCTTGGTCACCCTGTATGATGACCTGTGCAGGCAGAGAGACAGGGGGAGTGCATCCCTGTTGGTTCTCCTGGACCTCTCAGTGGTTTTCGATACCATCGACCATGGTATCATTCTGGATAGACTAGCAGGATTGGGAGTTGGAAGCACTGCTTTGCAGTGGTTCCGTTCCTATCTCAATGGCCTATTCCAGAAGGTGGTGCTGGGGGACTATGGCTCTGCACCATGGCAGCTATGCCATGGAGTTCCGCAGGGGTCCATTTTGTCCCCCTTGCTATTCAACATCTACATGAAACCGCTGGGAGAGGTCATCAGGAGGTGTGGGCTGCAGAATCATCAGTACGCTGATGATACCCAGCTCTACCTCTTGTTTTCCACCAATCCAGGTGAGGCAGTGGCTGTGCTGAACCGGTGCCTGGCCGAGGTAATGGGCTGGATGAGGGCCAATAAACTGAAGCTCAATCCAGATAAGACGGAGGTCCTGTTGGTGGGTGGTTCGGGGTAGGGGACCTGGACCTTGTCCTGAATGGGATTGCACTCCCTCTTAGGGACAAGGTTTGTAGCTTGGGAGTGCTCCTCGACCCAGAGCTGTCATTAGAAGCTCAGGTGATGGGGGTGGTGAGGAGCGCTTTCCTTCAGCTTCAGCTGATCCATCAGCTGTGTCCCTACCTAGAGAACGATTGCCTGGTGACAGTGACCTATGCACTGGTAATTTCCTGATTAGACTTCTGTAACGCGCTGTATGTGGAACTACCCTTGAAGACGGTCCGGATACTTCAATTGGTGCAAAAGAGAGCTGCCAGATTGCTGACATCCCCTGGGCGTTGTTCTCATAAGATCCCAGTCCTCCGTCAGCTTCACTGGCTTCCCATTGCAGTCCAGGCCCAATTCAAGGTGTTGGTTATCACCTATAAAGCCCTCAACGGCATGGGACCTGGTTATCTAAAGGAGCACTTGCGTCCATATATGCCCTCCCTCCCCTTGAGATTGGCAGCAAAAGCCCTTCTCCAGGAACCCTCCGTGAAAGATATTAGGAGGGTGAGTACCCAGAGGAGGGCCTTCTCTGCAGTGGTGCCCCACCTATGGAATGTGCTCCCCAGAGAGGTCCGCCTGGCGCCGTTGTTATTTGTTTTTCGGCACCAGGCCAAGACTTTATTTAAAAGTGACTTTAATTGTTAATGTAGTGATTGTATTTATTGGGTTTTTATGTACGTGCCGAGATGTTTCCGGATTTTTTAAGGCTAATTATATAATTGTTTGTGTTGTAAGCCACCCCGAGGCTTTTTGCAAATGGGGTGGCATAGAAATTGATTAAATAAATAAATAAATAAATAAATAAATAATAACACTTCTCTCAATCTGGAAGCCATGCTTCTGGCTATACATCCAAGGGTGGCGTTTGACTCAACTACTACATTACACTACTGGCTCATGTTCAACCTGCTATAGACAAGTATCCCAAGATCCCTTTCACAAGTGCTACTCTGCAGCCACATGCCCCCCATCCTGAACCGATGGCACCTATTCCTGAGTCCCAAGTGCAGGAATTTGCACTTACCTACATTGAACATGATCCTGCTGGCCTCTGGCCACTTCCACAGTCCATCCAGACCCATTTGCATCTGAAGTACCTGCTCCCCAGTTGTGGCTACCATCCCCACTTTGGTATCATATGCGAAGTTGGTCAACAGACTGATTACCCCCTCCTCCAAGTCATTGATAAAGAGATTGAACAGAATCAGAGTCCACTTGTCACTGGCTGCCATTCTGATGATTCCCTGCTGATAGTCACCCTCTGCTTGTGGTCCCTCAACCATGTCCTTAAGACCTTTTACATCATATTTCCCAGAATGGGCATTAGACTAACTGGTCTGTAATTCCCCTTGTCCCCTCTGCTACCCTTTCTGAAGATTGGGACCACTGAATCTGCCCTCCAGTTCTCCGGTATTTCTCCTGATTTCCACAGGGCCTCAAAAATGAAGGCCAGTGGATGCAAGAGTACCCCTACGAATTCCCCAAGTACTTTTGAGTGTAACCTGTCAGGACTGGGTGCTTTTGTAATGTCCAGGACCCTGAGGAACTTCTAGGGTAGTGACTCTAATCTATGCTCTCATAACCTGAACCTCATTGGGCCCCCAAGGTAGATCTCCCCCAACCTGCTTTGGGGAGAATACAATCACAAAATGATCTTTTAACATCTGTGCCTATCCCCTTACATCAGTTACCAGATCCCCTCCCTCCCTTTTAAGCGGCTCCACTGCCAGTCTCCCCTTCCTCTTACTATTTATATAAGAATAGAAGCCTTTTTTGTTGCTCTTGATATTCTTCAGAAGTCTCGGCTCATAATTAGCTTTAACCTTGCAAAGAATCCTTCTGCCTCAAGCTGCCTCTTCCTAGTATACCCATTTGTCAACTTGCCCCAGTGTCCATTTCCTTTGGAGGTCCTTTTTTCTCCTAATCCCTCTTACCAAGTTTCTCATCCACAGAAGTGCCCTCCTACACCTCCCCATTTTGCTAATCAGTGGTATTGTTGAGGCTTGCTCCTCTAAGACCTCCCTATTTAGTGCCATCCGCTCCTGTTGAACTCCCTTGCCTTCCAGTTCTCTCTCCCAGGAGACTTCTCCCGGCCTGGACTTCAATTGACCAAAGTTGGCCCTCGTATTAGAGTTAGAAGGGGCCTATAAGGCCATCTAGTCCAACCCCCTGCTCCCTTCCACATGCGGTCACCCATCCGACTGCAGGACTGTGCCTTAGGTATGTAGACGAATTGGTGAATGTATGAAAATTGCCTCCCTTTGCCTTTCACACAAACCCCCACAATCTTTTTGTCTGTGGAAGGGCACAATTGTATGCTAGCTTTGAAATGGTCTGTTCCAAACTTACAAATTTGCATTCATGTATGGATAGCTTTTGCTCTGATTTCATCTCCTTCTCCCACACTGATATGATTTTACACAGATCTTTTGCATCTATAGATTCTTTGCATCTTTCTTTGTATATGGTTGAGGCACAGGATTTCTTTTTTCCTTCCCTTCAGCATACATGAATCTGTCACATGTGGCTTTTTTTGTGTGCCAAACATGATCTAGACAAAATCTATAGCTTTGGAGACCCAATTATGTCAATGCCTGGAGGGTTGAGCAAAACACTTCGATCTTATGTTTTGAAATCAATGGAAACTGCTGGTAGGTGAATGCTCCTGGGGCAGGAAAGTCTTTGCTTATCTGCTTGTTTTTACCTGTGAAACCACATGGCTCTGTTTAAAGAAACTACACCCTCAGAAATGGCTAAACTTAAAACTGAAACTTAAAGATGTTTTAGCTGCTTTGTGTATACATTTGTAGTTATCAAATGACAAAGAAAACTGTGTGTGTATCTAGATACGATTAGGACTAAGTGGCGAATCAGCTTAGAACACACAGAAATCCAGTCCAGTGTGACTTTAAAAAACCACCGATAGTTACAAAGCTTTTACCATACTCTTTTCTCTGGTTGCAGTCAGTAGTATGTGTGTGTATATATATATATTCTACAAAAGACTGAATGCTCTGTACAGGTTTTTGCACAACTTGCTGTGCTTTGGCCCAGATACAGGGGTATGGAGCTTTGTAAACCCAGAAATTCTTCTCAGGTTTGGATTAAAATCCAAATCCCTGCTTTAACTTGGATCTCTAAACATGCAAATGACAGCTTTTTACAACCAGGAGAAGCTTCACTGGGAATCCCTCTTTGGCCTTGCGGAGTTGTGAATGGCAGCCAGGAATTGAGGAGGCTTAGTCCCTGCTCGGCCTTGACAGCTGCACTCAACACCGCTGGTGGGAGGAGAATGCACGCCTGCTTTGCAGAGGAACTTTGGGTCAAGAGCATCTGTCCACACGTAGGCATGGACATACCCTGAGCAATTTGCGGGTGTAGCTTTCCAAAATGGAGCCATGGGGTTTCCTTACACTGAATGCAGGATGGAATGCTGCTTAAGTGAAAAGCACCAGGGAACTAGGAAATACCATCCCTTACACACAGAAAGGTTCTCATGGCCCAAATTTTCCCTGAGAGAACATTGGCTTATCAAGTGATTTGCCTGACCCAGGGCCATCTCACCTGCTACATAAATCTGTTATTTGTTAGTTAGGAATATGGGAGATTTGAAAGTAATCACTGACTCCGAAATTGGATATCAAGACCTGCTGCGAAATTAGTGAGACCATTCTCAGCTGGGGAGACCAGGGACACACTGGCACCAAATCAAACAAAAGTGAGCCCCTGGTGACCCATCCATTTTTAATTCTATAACTAATCTTGATACTGGGGGGTCGGGGTATGGGGCACATGGGTTTCCCCTAAGCAAGGCTGCTACTTTCACTTCAGTGAACGTGGCCGAATTGCAAGTAGACTCCTTTGTGCTCAGCAGCATTGCTTTTATTAAACAGAATAGGGCAGATGGCAGCCATAAGCACTGCATGTGTGTTGCAGGTAGCATATAGGATTCTACCCAGGGCAATTGTGCAGCAGAATTGTCAGATACGATGCAAAGGCAGGTGCACAGATTTCCAGTAGCACAATCTGAGGTGTGTTGCATTTTTTTCTTTCACCCAATTCATTCATTCTCTCCAGCTGAGGTTGCCTAAGACATTCCCCCAAGTTTCAGAGCCATTTGTCAGTCAACTTGACAAGCTGGTTATGGAATGTATCTTCCAACAATCTTGCAGTATCTTTGTATTAATTCAGTTTTCTATTTAAAGATGTTCAAAATTCACAATAATTATTTTATGTAATATCTACACAGGTTAAATGGATAGAGTTGACACTTCTCTTCTCTTTGACAGGCTAGTAAAGGATGCACCATGGGATGAGGTCCCTCTTGCTCACTCTCTGGTTGGATTTGCCACTGCATATGACTTTTTGTACAACTATCTTAGTAAGTCTCAGCAGGAAAAGTTTCTTGAGGTAATTGCCAATGCCTCAGGATATATGTATGAAGCATCATATAGGCGTGGATGGGGTTTCCAGTACCTACACAACCATCAACCTACCAACTGTGTGGCCTTGTTGGCTGGAAGCCTGGTTCTAATGAATCAAGGTATGTGCTCAGTAACTTTAAAGCATGTATAAACAATTTGTGTTTGCTAATTATAAGCCATTTTTCAGAAGGTGATACAGTTGCTTGACACATATCAGTAGCCAGCATTTAATGCAGATTTCCCAACATCATGCCCTCCAAGTGTTTTGGATTTCACTTCCCTTTATCCCCTGCCAGAATGGCCAGTGGCCAGCTGTTCCAAGAGTTGTAGGTCAAAACATCTGCAGGGCACCTGGCTGGGGAACGCTGATCTCATGCAAACATACAGAAGGATATATTGGGGCCAGCACCAACTAGACTACGTCTGCCTTCCACTCACATTGGCTTGACTTAGATTGACAGTACTTCAAACTGAGAAAAGTTACAAATAGGTCAGTTGCTAGATTAATGTTACCCTTTTATTCTCAACACATCTGCATACAATTTATTTACATTAAGGATTATATATTCTAGGTATTTGCAAAACACTTAGTGTGGAAGAGGATGTTAGTATGAAAGCATAAGTAATTTCCCTGTTCGTTTCCTGCACTTCTCACACCACTTTCTAAACCTTAATCTCATTTTCCCATTGCATCCATTTTCTGAAGTAAGATGTAAGGATTTAGCTTTTCCTTACAGGGAATGATTACAAACCTTTGATAAATATGGTATTCATATCTCTTTTCTGAGAATGAGAGGCTACAATTGTACCACTGACCCAGTTTGCATGTAACGAAGCCACTGTGGGTGAACTTCCATGTGGGGTTTCTCATTATGGCTGCCACCACTACTTTTAATATTCAAGCCATGGTGAATGGAGGGATACTGTAGCTTATTCTGTGCAAGCAATGTGAGGGTAGGTTGTTAGGATGGTTGACAAGGCACCAGAGGCTGTGGCCTGTTGTAGGGTTGTGGGTACTCTTTTAACAATCCCAACAAGCCACACTCATTGGATTTTTGCATAACAAGGTACAGTGTACTCTTTCCACAGCTCAAATGCTCAAACTGGCAGCTGCCACTGCAACAAAAGGAAACACAGGGAAATTTTCCCACAGTGACATCCTAGTACGTAGTATCTCAAATCCAGCCATACCAAAAGGGGGGAAGGGGTTATACTACTGTCTGCTTTATTTTAATTCACGTTTGCAATAATCTGTACCATGGAATTCTCCTTTTTCCACAGTGCACAACACTGAGCTAATACTTTCTTTGAACTGATCATCATAATCTGATCAACTACAATCTGAATTCTAATCAAGCATTGTTGCCACTGGCCATTGGCCAGACAAGATCACTTGGCAAAGAGCCTGGGCATTACATGCTATTTAAGCCCCTTGCATGCCTCCCATGTATAGGTGCAACTCCCTTGCCCTTCACCAGAGATGCACACAGGCAACTTTCAGAGCGCAAGTTGCTTGTACACACATGCAGGAGGATGGATCACAACATGATTTCATGTTTGAGATTTTTTTCCCCTCTTAACAAAAGCTGGAATTCAGAGGATAAAGAATTCTGTGTCATCTGCCTCTCTGGATTTTGCATCATGTACTTGCACCAGCCATAAACAGATATGTCAGTTTTATACCTGCATTTTAAAAGACCATGCTTCTTATAGGTGTTGGGTATAATGCGGTCAGTGTAATCCCAGTCTCTTTCTTCCAGGTTACCTTCAGGAAGCCTACCTGTGGACCAAGCAAGTCCTCACAATCATGGAGAAGTCTATGGTTCTGCTACAAGAAGTGACAGATGGATCCCTTTATGAAGGAGTAGCTTATGGCAGCTACACCACCAGATCCCTTTTCCAGTACATGTTTCTTGTCCAAAGGCACTTTGACATTAACCACTTTAAGCACCCCTGGCTGAAACAACATTTTGCTTTTATGTACAGGACGGTTCTGCCAGGCAAGTCATTCAAATCAGTCTGTTCCAAATCAGTTATGAATAGATCTTTTGACAGGGTCTCAGCTGAGAGATGGTTACATGCAACAGAGGAGCTGTGCCTGCACGGGTGGTAAATGCTGTCAGAGCTGATCTGAATCAGTTGGGGGAAGGTCAACCTCATCTAGGACCACCTGTAAACTTCCATTCCTCTTCCATTCACAGCAGGCAGTTTCCCTACCCACAGCACCTTTGTTTGGAGGCTTCAGTGCCCCAAGCAGTTTGTTGGTGTCCTCAGACTGCACGGGCTGAAAGGTATTCCTATTAATACATCTAGAATGCATTAGCACCATTCATCTTTAGCTCTTTCAAAACAGTGGCATCCAGCTCAGCATGGATATAGGCAGTTTCATCTGCCAAACATCCATGTTCAAGCCATTTTACTCCAGAGCCTATTTCAAGTCCTGAAAACTCTGCTCTGGATGACATGGAGAAGACACATTAGTGGTCAGAAAGTAAGATCTATGTGTCTTCACCACAGCAGAACGATATCCTAGATGGATTCTTACCTTTGGTCATAATTCTCATGTATCTTTAAGCCACAGTTTTGGGCAATTTATTTAGATATACATTTGTTTTTATTTTTTCCTCCTAGGATTCCAAAGGACTGTTGCTATTGCAGATTCCAATTACAACTGGTTTTATGGGCCAGAGAGCCAGCTGGTATTCCTGGATAAATTTGTGATGCGCAATGGTAGTGGAAATTGGTTGGCAGACCAGATCAGAAGGAATCGGGTGCTTGAAGGCCCAGGGACACCCTCCAAAGGACAGCGTTGGTGCACTCTTCACACTGAATTTCTCTGGTAAGAGACAAAAAAGCCTTAAGCAGCTATACAGAGATTTGTTCAGGATCCCCTGCTGTATTTTTGAATCCTGTTCATGAATTAACACCACTTTGGAGGGCCTCCATTTATAGGGCCTCCATAAGTCAGCAACATTTTGATGGCACGTAACAACAGCAAACAATTGGAAGGCCTCCATCAGAGATTTCCATCTGCTAGTAGCAACAAAATGCACTGGGGTGTGGAGAAATTGGAATATCCAAGGATGGTCCTGCACCTTTAACAGCTGTGCAGAAAGAGAGGACTTCTTGTTAGAAGCGTTGTCCTCTTTTGCCTCTGGCCAACCTAAAATCTGTCTAAACAAGAAAAGGACAACCTGCCTGCATTTAGCATGTAGCATGTTTGGAAAAGGCTAGGCTGAACTCTTAGTTTTCTTTGTACATGGATCTTGTTAGATGTGGGGAAGCTTTAAGTGCTGTGTTCTGAGATAAGCTTTACACCTTGATAGTGCTATATCAATGGGTCATGTGGTGGTACCTTATGCATTCTATGTCCAGTGATCTCACTCAGGAAAAGAGCTTGAAGCTGTACCATGTAACCCTGTAAATGTCTGCTCAAAAAGAAGTACCGTTGGATTCTATAAAACTTTCGTGTTAAGTTGGGTATGTTGGTTTCAGTTACTTTTGTGGGGAAGTTTTCAGTCTGGCAGGACCCAAATCCAGAAACTCTGTCAGAGAAGCATGCTCCCTGTCGCCCAGGGACCAATAGCTTGGTAGTTTCACAGTTTGTGTATAATTCCTCCTTACAGTTCTGAAAGGCTGGAAGTCCTCTCCTAAGGCTTAGCAAAAGGCAGCAAGAAATTTAAGCTAAAACATGCTGATTTCTTTGGCCCCACCCCTTTGCCCTGCCCTACCATTAGAATGTGACCCCCAAGAGTTTCACTGAAATTGAATGTGCCCCCTCTTGCTGGAAGATACTCTGCACCGCCCCCCGCCCCCCCCACTGTATTGTGAGCTACTGTACTCCCTGCCTACTACATAAATGAGGCCACAGTAAAGGCAGGGATATTGCTTGGTTTAAATATTTAACACTTAAGAAGGATTTTACTTGTGAGATAATAAAACAGGTGAATAATTAATGCCGACAATGGTCATAACAGAATCCCTTTTACTTTTATGAAAGGTATGATTCAAGCCTGGGCTTTGTACCTCCACCAGACTACGGGATTCCAAAGCTGCATTATTTTGAGGACTGGGGCGTTGTAACATACGGAAGTGCACTGCCAGCTGAAATCAACAGATCCTTCCTCTCCTTCAAATCAGGAAAGCTCGGAGGACGTGCAATATATGATATTGTTCACCAGAACAAGTATAAAGACTGGATCAAAGGCTGGAGGAACTTTAATGCCGGCCATGAGCACCCAGATCAGAACTCATTTACTTTTGCCCCCAATGGTGTCCCTTTCATAACAGAAGCTCTGTATGGGCCAAAGTACACATTTTTAAACAATGTGCTGATGTTTTCCCCAGCGACATCAAAGAGCTGCTTCTATCCATGGGAGGGGCAAATTACTGAAGACTGCTCATCCAAGTGGTTGAAATATAAGCATGACTTGGCCGCAGATTGCCAAGGGAGAGTGGTTGCTGCTATGGAAAGACGAGGGATCATCTTCATCAAGGGTGAAGGAGTGGGTGCCTACAACCCCGGGCTAAAGTTGAAAAGCCTCCAGAGAAACCTGTTCCTTCTACATCCCCAGCTTCTGCTGCTAGTGGACCAAATACATCTCGATGGTGACAGTCCACTGCAGACAGCGACCAGCTTCTTCCACAATGTGGATGTGCCTTTTGAAGAAACTGTTATTGATGATGTCCATGGGGCCTTTATTAGGCAACGGGATGGAGTGTACAAGATGTACTGGATGGATGACACTGGCTACAGTGAAAAAGCTGTCCTTGCCTCAAGAATGTATCCCAGAGGTTACCCCTACAATGGGACAAACTATGTGAACGTCACGACTCGCCTGCATAGCCCCGTCACCAGAGTGGTGTACCTCTTCATTGGACCTTCCATAGACGTCCAGAGCTTCAGTGTCCATGGGGATTCCCAGCGGCTGGACGTTTTCATTACCACCAGTGAGCATGCCTACGCTGTCTATTTGTGGACCGGAGAAGAGAAAAGCCACTCTGTCTTTGCACAAGTTATTGCAGACCGCCAGAAAGTTCTGTTCGACCGGGCCTCTGCCATCCGGAGCGCACCAGTATCAGAAGTCAGGGACTACAGTGGGGTAGTAGAGCACAGCCTTCAGCATTTCAAGCCTGTCTTCCAGCAGCTGGAGAAGCAGATCCTTTCCCGCGTGCGGAACACAGACAGCTTCAGGAAGACAGCGGAGCGCCTCCTGCGGTTTTCCGATAAAAGGCAGACCGAGGAGGCCATTGACAGGATATTTGCAATCTCTCAGCAGCAGCAGCAGCAGCAGCAGCAAGGCAGGGCAAAGAGGAATCGGAAGGTGATAAAAGGGTATAAGTTTGTCGATGCTGGCCCTGACATTTTTGCACAGATCGAAGTCAATGAAAGGAAAGTGCGGCAAAAGGCACAGACGTTGGCCCAAAAGGAGTTGCCTGTGGATGAAGATGAGGAGATGAAAGATCTCTTGGATTTTGCAGATATTACCTATGGGACACAAAAATGGCACAAGAACGGTGTGTCCATCAAAGGCCGATCTGGTCTGGCACAGATGTTGGCAACTGCTCGAAGCAGTGCTCCCTCCATGTCAGCATCCTACACCCGACTCTTCCTTATCCTGAACATAGCTATTTTCTTCTTCATGCTGGCCATGCAACTCACTTGGTTCCACAAAGCCAAGAGCCTGCATGCCCAGCGATGTCTCTATGCAGTCTTGTTAATTGACAGCTGTGTGTTGCTGTGGCTGTACTCTTCCTGTTCCCAGGCGCAGTGCTAACATAGCAGACCATGGCAGCCACTGGACCATTCTGTGGTGAGATGTGTCTGTGCAAAGTATTCCCTAAGAGAGCCGGAGTGTGTGTTACATCTTTTCTGACAGATTCCAGGAAACAGCTGTGTAACAATGGTATTCTTGTAGTCACAAACAGTAACATTAATGGGCATTGGAAACACTTCTAAATGTACCACCTACATACGGGTTAAGCTGGATTTGTCCTATGAGTGAATGTCAGTTTCGCAACTCGGTGTGTGGCATTGAATTTTCTTCTTCAAAGCAAACACTCTCTTGTGGCATTATTTCCTAATTAACTTCTATGAAAAAATAAAAATAATATACTACTGGAATGGAAATGTTCTAACAGCATCTAAACCGGCTGTTGACACATGAAATGGCAATTTTAACCAGTGGTTTTCATCCTTTCTGCTAATCCAGATGTTGTTATATGAAGGAAGTGTGACAGTGAGGGCTGCAAATCCTTTGTTTGATGTCAGCATTTGTCTGCCTGAAAGCAGTGGCACTGCTATAAATAAGGCCTCCTGCCCCCGTAGCTCTCTGCCGTCTCGCCTCGGTCATCACCAAGAGAAAGTGCTGCTCTCCCTGCCTTCGTGCTCGGCCAGTAGCATGTGGGAGCCTTCCCCCTTGCAGTGGGGCTTGTGAGGCGGAACACCATTCTGGGCTGACTGAAAGCTCGTGGGAGTGTCAATTGTTGAACGGCCGTAGCCTTCACTAGTAGACTGTATCCTGGTGCCTTCCACATGTTTTGGAATCATCACTGACTATTGGTCATGCTGTCTAGAGCTAATGGAATTTGTAGTCCAAAATATCTGGAGGGCAGCAGGTTGGGGAAAGCTGGAACAGGTTGGAGAGAGGCAGGTAGGATTAGAAGGTACAATAAGAGATTGCGGCTGTGTGACCAAGGCTGCCCCTTCAGTACCACACTGCTGCTCAGGACTGAGATCTGTGTGAGGAAGGAGGAACCTGCAGATACGCTTCTGGGTGTGGGCGACGTGGGGTGATGTACATGTTGATTGGCTAGTATCTGGGTGGGAATACCTGTCTTTCTCAGGAGAGACTTACAGATAGATGAGGCCCTTGCCCCTGCCTCTGCCTGTATACCTGGCAACAACATTGCTTCTGCAACTGATGGATGTGTCACTCCTGCGCACAACAATCATGGGACTGATTTCTAAATCCCAGGAATCCTAAACAGTAAGGATCAGCTGGAAAATTGGCTTGTATGCCTTGAAGAATTTTTTTTTAAAAAGTTCCAAATACTTTTTGCTAAATAAACAGATTATAAATGTCTCACTTATACCAATTGAATTAAAATGATTTTAAAAATCTCTCAAGACTATGCAAAAGTATTTGTATATATGGATGCGAACAACTTTGTTTGAAGCTGATTGCCATGAACGATATGACAGCTCTCTTTTCTCAGGGTTTCAATATCCCTTGCACTTTGCTGCTTTCCCCTCTGCTGCAGTTTTTTCTTTAATGTTATTGGATACCCTAATTTTCTACATCAGGATGGGGAGCCTTTGGCCCGCCAGCCTGATAAGGCCTGTGAAGGTTCTGCTTCCCCATCTGGCTTAGCAGCAACTTCTGGACTATCCACCTCTACAGCAGATGGAGAAGCTATTTGATCAGCAGCTGATCCAAGACAAGTGTTTTTCTCTGTGTGGAACTTCTAAAAGGGCTTAGCAGGGAAGAACAGTTCCCCATTCAGCAGCTGATTGGTGGAGGGAGCAGAGCCAGAAAGGTATAGCATCCATAAAGATAGATATGACTGCATCCCATGGAACTTAAATAGATATGCATAGGGCTATGCTATGCATGTTTATGAAAAATAGAATTAAATATGTGCACGCTTCCTTAATAGTTACAGAACTGAGCATTTATGAAATAATTATTGGCGAAACAATCATTGGTCAATGAGTAAGATCTGAAAAGGAGTCTATCTGAATAATGTTTAAAAAAAATAATGTTTACATGCCATTTCTTGATTCTGTTTGTACGTTGAAAATATACAGAGTGCTAGAGTGTAATGTATGCTTTCAGTTAGGATATCTCAAAACCTCTAGAGAACAATCTCGATAGTGATTGATTTATCAGATGAGCATGTTCTAACAGTGAGGTCAGTGCATTCCTATGTATTATAAAAGAAGAAGAGAAAAGCAGATGTAGATGCATTAACAGCAGGCATTTAAAGGAGGCATATTTGGATGGTATTTCCTATCTTGCCATTAGAGCAGTGTAGATTTCCACAGAAATGGATGTTGTGTCTGAAGCAGAGCACAAACAACATGACCTTGGCCCTAAGTTCCCATGCTCCTGTAGGGTAAAAATGCAAACAGTCATGTATATTGCACAGATGAGTAAATAAGGTACTGCCCCATTTGAATCTCTGGGGATGTTTGGACTTAAAAATGAATGACAGCACTAGCACTTGCAGTGTTCCAATTACTAAAATGCAAGTTTTCCTGGTGCAACAAAGGGAAGGGGAACCGTTACTGTTTGCCTTCCTTGAATGTATTTATGAACACTTAGAACTGTTTCACGTGGAATATCTCACACTCTCTTCCAGTCTGAAGAATAAAGACTCATTTCCATTATAGAAAAAAAAGGATATTTTTAAAGTTGAAAAAATGCTCAATTATAAGGCACTGAAATCTGAAATTTCCAGTGGAAATACAGCAAGGAACAAACAGGAGCAAACAAGTACCTAGCAGTTTCTTTCCCTTATGCATCATCACCAGTACTGTTTTATTTTTAATTGTCTGCAGATGCTCATGGGTGAAAGCACATGCATACTGGCAGAGTAGCTGTCTTCCATCTATTGGAGGATTCATACAACCTTAGTATCATCTGCTCGCACCATGACGCTGAATTCTTTTGAGTTTTGATTGATGTGGCCATTTGACATTAGGGTGAAGGGCTGCAAGTTACTATTGGTCCTGTGGCCATCCTCCTCTGGCTTATGGAAATTTTAATAGTTGTGTGCAAACTTCAGACAACCTGGCTCCACAAGATGATGGTGACTCACCAAAAAATATTTTCATTTTGTATTGGTCTCCTGCCCCCTTGAGAGACTTATCTTAATGCTGTGAAAGTTTTGAAGAATATGAAGCAACAAGTCCTTTTGCTCATGTGGTCTGATACCATGGCTATATTCATCAGACCCCCCCAGGGATAATAATTCCTGAAATCTAAATTATAAACACTAAGATGATCTCCACAGGAGTCCTAAAATCTACCACTGGTAGAAACTAACAGTTAGTTTCTACCATCTTATGATAGAAACTAACATGTTTCCTTTAGCAGATCACAGGAAGCCATGCAGGAGGGTTGGACTACAACTGCCAGAATGCCTAGCCAGTGTAAGAGTCACTGAAGTTGCAGTCCAATCCATCTGGAGGCTGTTTAGAGAAGACAACCCTAAGCTCAAAGAACACATTGCTGAAATAGAAGTATCTTCCATGTAGGTAACAGCTATCACATCTGTCTTGATTTCATTATTTAAAAAGAACAACACATGTGTTTGTTGACCACATAGGAAACTTGTGGGTAAACACACTGATTTTACAAACTGCCTGCGTGTGTGTGTGTGTGTGTGTGTGGTGATAGAGAAATGCTTTCATTTTATAGTTCAATAAAACTGGTTGATCACAGATGCTCTTATAAGGCTCTGTGTTCATATGATGTTAAATCCTATATTTGCTAAAAAAAAAATACTGATGGGTTGTGAACAAAAATATATGCCAGTTTTTCATAGCAAGCACATACTGACTTGAGCAAGAAATAGCAATTTGTCACTCAAATTATTAAAACAAAAATATATACATACCTCACAAAGGAGCAATCCAGCCCATTTGAAACTTGGGTAATAATAACCTGATTATTGCAATAATAATATATTGCTTGGTTTTATATGTGATTATCTAGATCTCACAATGATATCAAAATAATGACTGACGAATGGATAACTCTTCCACTTCGTATAATATTTATATTGATAAAACTCAAGCCAGCACACAGCCAGATTCCCTGAGCTGGTATTATGTATGCATTCAGGGATGAATTCTAGTAAAAGGGAATCTGTGTTTGTGTGTTGTTTGTGTTCCTTTCTTTTCATCTCCCTTTCCCCACCCCCACCACATTTTTTTTAAAAAATGTATCATACCTTTTACATTGTAAGATTGTAGAAAAAGAACTGTCTCCCATGTTGCAGTTTTTGTTGTTATATTTCTATACTGGCCTATAGCCAAAACCCTCTGTGAGGTTTACACAGAACAACACAGACAATAAAAATACAATCTAAAGTACAGATGACAATACAAACAACAATTGCAATACAAAATCTAAGCTATTCTTGGATCCTTTTGGGTGAAGAGCAGAATAAATCTAGAAAGGAAGGACAGACAGACTGACTGACTCCCACGTTTTCTGGTGTTAAAGTAGCTTCCCAGCCAATGGTAATTATTGAAGAGAAGCAGCTTTTAACTCATCCTCTCTCACAGGGAAGACTATATTGAAAGGATTCTCCTCTGCATGTTTAGGCATAGACAAGTCCTAGAATTCAGCATTCCCAGCCAGCTCGGAATTGTAGGGCTGCCCCTCACCTCCATCTAAATATGCACAGGATTGTACCTTTAGAACACCATGTCCGAGAAGGCAGGCCTAGCATGTATAGACAGGTGCAGCCCATCATTTGCCCTTAGTCCATCTTCCAGGAAGCTTAGCTTGTGGTCCCAGAATCCAAATCTCTCTTTATGGCACCGTCATCATAGCCAGTCATTCACTTGAAAGATTTTTCTTTCCCTAACAGTTTGTCTTCTGTGTACTGGTAGGTTTGAGGAAACTATCTGGCCCCCAGTGTTATTTGTTTTCCTCCCTAGATCTTTGAAGTCTGATGTTATTTCCATGAAGCTTCTTACGGCAGTGTTGTTCCCACATGAAAGTGAAGGAAGGGAGTATTTGTCAGTGGGTTTTACAAATTGTGTGAACTTGTTGGTTATATCTATAATCTTGGCACCAGGGAGACAGCATATTTGGCGATGCTGTGGGTCATCACAACACATATTTTTCCATCCCACACAGGAAGGAATCTCCCACAACTAGCACTCTTCTTTTGTTGCAAACTTTGGTAATCTTTTCCTTTCTTGATTGTCCTTTTGTCTCTTTTTCAGTTACACAATGTGTCATGTAGTTCTTTCACAGTAGATTTCTCACACTTCCCTTAAGTAAGTGAAAGCGGTTCAAGAGTTGCACCGCTGCCACTGGTGGAGCGTGTTCGCTAGGCCTCCTGCATCTATCTGTCACCCTGTTCCAGCAAGTTTCCTCCCCTTCCCTCAGGGTTCTCTTCTGCTGCCTCAGCTTGCTGAAGCTCTTCTTGCTTCTGGACTACACTGACCTGTTGCAGCTCCTCTACTTTGTCTAGAAACTCTTCATTTTCTTTTGTCCGGAGGGTGGACACTCGCTGCTCCAGTGCTCTCACCTTTTCCTGTAGCAGAGCTACTAGTGTGCAGCTGTTGCTGTTGTTGCAGGCCACCACTGTGGAGTCTCCTTGGTCCATTGTTTGGGCAACCTTAGTGATTCTGTCTTTGGGGCAACTGTTGTGACAACTGGTGCTTTTGAATATCTTCACTAAAGGTTAGCAACAAACAACACAGTCCTAGTAAATGGGAGTGTGTTATAAGGAAGAACACAAGTGTGTGTGCTTGTGTGTGCGTGTTCATGTGCACACAGGGGTGGGAAATTAAGGTGAAATAAAGAAGAGAAACAGGGAGAAAAAATGTTCGGTACCTCCTCCACCAAACTCCTGTTTGCTCTCCCTGTTCGCCCGCTCTGGTCGCTTGCTCCCTGGGACATCGTGTTCATTTTCCTAAATCTTTAAAAAAAGAGAGAGATTCAGTGGGGAGGATTTTGTTGTGTACACGTAGCCTTGTGTGCTAATAGGTAAGCTTAAGCATCCCGCTGACCCTATGTGAAGTGCGCTGAAACGTTTGTGATAATGTCTAGTCACCCCTCAGTTCCCTTGAAAAACGGGAGCTTCCTGATTAAGTTGCTACTTCCTAAAAATATACTCTGGAAAATAAAAGCTACCTTGGAATGGACCAATTAGCTGCTGCTGCTAATTTCCTTCAACTTGGTGAATGTGCAATACTTTCCTGCCCAGGAATGCTTCTGTTAGTGCTCTTTTTTCATGTAGTTAAACATTACATACACAAATTTCTCTAAACATGTCAGGAAAGACAGACTGACAAGTTGTCGGCTCTAAATGCTCCATTTGTTGCGGTCCATCAGCCAGTTCCAAAGAGAGGGTGGAGTCTTTTCCATTTGTGTT